CTCAGGGGGCTTGTACAATTTGCCACAATCTTTTGGAGATACTGTCCAATATGTCAGAGTCCTCTTTAGACAATGTCAGGGTTGTGAGAAGAAGAATAAAGACTTTTTGGAAGATCATCTGATGGAGTGCTTGAAGTAATTAGGGGAAAATGAAATCATACATCTAAAGGATCAAATTACTTAAAAAAGAATATAAAGTTCTTGCCTTTAAAACATAAAGAAATAAGTGAGTGGCAAATACTGGAATTGTGAGCTTTTAAAAACTGGCATTATGATGATTCAATTTATGTGTCACGTTTGAGTCTCAATTTTGTGGAAGTTCTGCAATCTCATTTTGTTACACAGCAAAGGAAAAATAATCACAAAATCACAAAAGCTGTGGAGTAAACTTTATCACATGTGGAACATAATCATTACAGGAGTTCCAAATCAGCCACAGTAAAATGAAATGCTTAAAAGGTCTTTATTATGAGAGCTTTTCTGTACCAAGTCTTGTATACCAAAATGGTGAACCCCAACTCTTTGTGTCTCTCTAACTGTAGTAGAGCTAGCTGGAAAATGAAAGTTGTGAAATTTTAGTTTGTTGCTCTCTGTATCATAAAAGAGCCAAATGCTTTCTAAAACCTGCAGTCACAAACTGATTATGAAATTCCCATGGGGACTCTGATGGGACTATCATAACTTAACAATGGAATGGTGAGTCACTGCAGGAGAAATTCATGTAATAATCTTTCCCAGTATTTATAGGACCAGGAGGATAAAATGTCATTTAATTTCATTTGATTAAAAACTAGTAGGCAAGAGAGAAAGAGGAAGGAAAAAAATGATGCATCTTTTATTTCAGGCGTGAAAGATGGAAGGAATATGTAAGAAGCATATTATGGAGCAGGATATTACAGTGATTAATTTCTAATCTCACCAGTGCTCCAAAATGGTCATGTTAATATCATAATCTTTCTATTTGATAACTTAAGGTGATAGTTTTGTTGGGTTTTTTTGGGTTTTTTTTCAGATCCTAGATGCAGAGTGTAGCTTTTGAGTGGAACAGCTGGATTATGAGGAGGTGGATTGTGGAGGGATAGAATGTAAGAAAATAAAGATAGTGCAGAAGATAGTCTTACACCTGAGGAGCTGCAGCTGTACTAATTACCAAAGATTAGGAACAGGCCTGCCCTTAACAGGCCACAGCTGTGTCCAATGAGGATGAATGCTATAAGAGTGGGGTAGCTGGGTGAGAAGGGAGCTGGTGTTTGTTGTCTGTGCTGTGAAGGGAGTTGGAGTCAGTGCTGTGAGGAGCTACCCGTGAGAAATCACTACGGAGGTATGGAACTTTTGCAATAGGATGGCAGCAGTGGATGTGGATTAAATCTGGTGCTCTCAGGTTAAAGACCATGGCTGGTGTTGCTTAAAGGTCTGGGGTGGTGTGTGTTGGTTCTTTGAGTAAGGGGAATTCAGTGAGTTTGTGTTCATTCACAGCAGGTGAATGGCTTGCTTGGGTTCTTCATTGGAGCTTCCCAGTGCTGTCACAATGCTGGGAGTTTGTCACTGTGCCGTGGCACAACCACCCCATCCTCTCTCTTCTCCGCCTTGCATTGCCAATGTTTATTTTTGGTTTATCTTCAACATGTGCTGTGTGGTTTGCTAAGAAGCACGGTGTGTAAAGGGCTTGTCAACCCTTAAGTGTATCAAATTGCAAATGAATGAAAGCAGAAGCAGATGTCTGTGAGGAAAGGTAAGACTATTAAACAAAATTTAAGTATTCTTGAATGAGCTAGACCATTGTGGGAATCCATAAAATGGGAGGTTTTTGGGGAAAGCTGCAAAAGGCAGGCCTCAGAGACAGCAGAACTGTGATTAGAGCTAAGCAGCAGCCATGAGATTGGTCAGCAGAAAAATTATGTAAGAAGTAGAAAAGCAAGGACAAATAGAACAATGGTCTGCGTATTAATGCTGGTCTAGAATAACTCCCTAAGCTACAGAAAAGTTTATCTAGCAAGACATTAGGAAGTTTTAAGCTTAATAATGAAGCTCTGTGCATTGTGTTTTAAGGCTTACAAGCAGGTATTTTATTTGAAATAAGCAAGCATTGTTTTACCAAAGGTACATGTGCTTAAAGTGGTTGGAGAGAACTGCTGTCAATGTGCTTTTGCTTTGTGTGATTGGTCAAAAAACTTCTAAAGTGAGTTGTAGCATTAAGTTCTTGGTCTGCTGCCTGGGATTTGAGCTGCTGGCATCTTCCCATTGTCATAACCATGGAATGAGAGTGATGCTGGAAAACAAAGCAGCTCAAGGCACGTTCACAGCATTCCTGTCCTGTTTGTAAACATCTTCAAAAGTTCATCTGGAAATAAAAATCTCAGTGTTAGGTGTTGCTTAAAAAGCAAAATTGTCTGGAGGCTTGGCCAAAAAGGTCCCTAATTTATTTTTTCATGTTCTGCTGTTCAAACCTGATGGAACCAAGGACTTTGTAGGAGTGATGGTGAAAGAAGCATCACATGTGTTCAGTACTTTGTAGAGATGACCAAAGAAGAGTCAGATGTTTAGAAGACAAGCAGGCATGCAAGAAATAAATGAGTAGTTAAACATATTAGTGGGAAAAGACAATTTTCTGGAAAGTCAATTTGCTAGTGAGTTTAAGTGGAAAAAAAATATTATTTCAATGTATTTTATTTTAAAGATAGAAGTAGCTCTTCTGACACTTCCTATCCCTTCCGTGACTCTTCCTGCCAACACTGTAGGTCTGTTTTAGGAAATAGTGATTTTTTTTCAAAGTTTTCATCCTAGTTTTGTACCTATGATAAAGAACAAGAGCATTTGTTTGGTTTTTTTTTAAGAAAACAAAACAACCAAACCCAACCATGAAGATGTGACTCATGCTGATGAAACTTTTTTTTTTTCCAAGAGGAATTATGATGTAGTTTAGGTTGGTTTTGATTGTAATGTGTTGCTGCACAATAAGTGTAATCCTAAATGACACTTGGGACTCCTGTGATTAAGTTTTTGAGTGCATTTCTGAGTGGGTTAATCTTATGCAAAAAAAAAAAAAAAGAAGCTGGTTTTAATTTTCTGTTGCTCCTCCACATATTTCTAAAGGGATTTTCTAAATGGATTTCCCTACAGAACTAGAATATAAAAGCTAGAGGTTTATTGCTTATGTACATTAGTTCTGGTAAGGATTAAATGGAAATAACTTGAGTGGAAATCAAAGCATGACATATATACCCTGGATATTTTAAAAGTAATTTAGGAGAATTTGTATTTTAGATATTTAGATATTTTGGATTTTTATTTTAGTTTATTCTTAGGTTTTTTATTTTTGTTTTCTAAAATGTATATTCATTTTTACAATTTGCTAAGCTAAATGCAGAATGAAAAATTACATTTTTATAGTCATTTTCATTGAAGGGAGATAATAAAAAAGTAGCTAATTAGTTTAATATCCCACTCAGTAGCCAGTGTTGGATTTTATGGCTGTAGTAGAAGTAAGAGTTACAATGCAAAGAAAACCCAGAGTGATGGGAGTCTTTAATAAGAAAGCTTCTCTGAATCTTACAGGTATGTGAGAACTTATAGAGAACATGCTTGGAGTTTTTAGCCTATGCAAGTATATTTAAAATTTCACTAAATTCTTATGTTCCGTTGAGTTAAAGAAACAACCACATTTTTTAACTGCTTCAGTTCTGTGTTTATAAATTGGTTTCAAGGAGTATGCTTTTGTTTTTGGCACAAGATAAATCAGAATGCTTAAATAGATTGTTTAGAATGGATGGTGTGTTCTCTTTAACACAGATTTGTCTTACAGATATTGCTTAAAAAAATTCTGGGTCAGTGCTTTATTTTTCATATGAGTGATGCAGCTTAATATTGGGTGATCACCCACTAAATTTTGTTTCCTTCATTAACTTTGTAAAACATTGTAGGAAATTTTTGCTTCTAGAAAATAAGCTTAGGAAATGTGATAGTATAGCATGAAGAAATTGTGTTTAATAATTGTTTTAGCCACAGTAGAGTTAGATTATTAGTCTCCTAAGTATCTTATTTATTTTTGGGGGGGGGATTTCATGTAGAAGTCTTTGTTTTCTAAAAAATGGTTCTGGATATTTGGGTCTTCATTGCCTTTGAATTTCTGTTCTTATCCAAAGGAATTTATGGTTGACTCTTAGTTCTTCTTCATTGCCTTTAACTTTCTGTTCTTATCCAAAGGAATTTTTTGGTTGAATCTTAGTTCTTTCAAGAGTTAGATTGAAAAAATTCACTTAAAAGCTGCTGTTACCCTTGGCCTTATAATTTGTGAGAGTAAGTTTAGTTCATATCAATTTCTGTTGAATAGGATTGTAGCTGGTAAGTAGTTTTCAAAACCTGTTTCACATAAAAAAAATAATCTGAGAAGTGGGAAAAAATCCCCATGCAAATATTAATATTCAAGTATATGGAGAATTTGTTTTTCAGGTCTAGCTCGAGTTTCCCTCAACAACAGAGGTCAGTTCAATCAGGGCTGAGAGAAAAGATTTATGGCAATACCAAGGTGCAGAGAGGCAGTGACATTTGTACTTTGGTTTAGATACAATGTCACAAAGACAATGACAATCCTTTTATTTTCTTTTTGCTAGTATGTATTCCCTGGACTAAAGAATTCCAGTAGGAGGTTTGGGGGTATTTTTGTTGTTGTGTTTTTGGGTTTTTTTTTTTTTTTTTGGTATTTTTTTGGAAGGGATGGTTTTTTGGTTTAGTTTGTTTTGGTTTTGTTGGGGTTTTTTTTTTTTGGTGTTTTTATTTGTTTGTCTGTGGGTGTTTGGTTTTCTTTTTTGTTTTTAGTTTTGATACAGTGAGAGATTATTTTTTGCAGAATTGCAATGATGTCAGAATACAAGAAACATTTCCAAAAAGGCAACGGCGTGTTTTCCTCTAGTACACGAGGGGGATTTTCAAACTTAAGTTCTGCACCATCCATCAGTTTGTCAGTGCTCTGAGGTGGAAGTGTTTGTGTTTTCCCTCCCCAGCGTTTCCTGGATATGACATTTGGAGCTGGAGGTCACACAGCAGCTCTGCTGGAGAGAGCCAGAGACATCACAGTGTATGCCCTGGACAGGGACCCCACAGCTCACAGCATGGCCCAGCAGCTGGCAGCAGCCTACCCGTGAGTTATCTCCTCCTGTCCTATAAAAATGGCTGGGATAAGGCTGGTACTTTGGTGTTTTAGCAGTAATTTGATATATTTTTATATATTATAATATATGATAGAAAATATAATATATTATACAATACAATATATTATATAATATTATTATATCATTATATATTTTATATAATATATTATATATTTTATATAATAAAATATATATTATATATGATTTTTTATATATTATATATTTATATTATAACTGTATATAATATATAATACAATATATTATATTCTGTCATATAACACAACATAACACAACATAATTTCATAATATAATTATGGTATTAAATATAATACATGTATTACTTTTATATATAACAAAATATAGTATATAAAATATATAGTATTATATATATTATATATATAAAATATATGTTATATATTTTATAGTTTTAATGTCTTGTTGTGGAATAATGTTCTGTGCTGTGTGCACCCTGTTGAATAGGAGCTGATCCAAATCAATTTGTTCGTGAGAGCATGAAGCTGCTTCTTGGGATTTTGGAGTTCAACGTGTGTTTTGTGGGTTTCATTTTAAGCAAGCATCAAGTAGCATCTCAGAACCTGAGATGGTTCTGATTGCAAATAGCACAAAAACATATCTTGGTGGTATGAATCTCACAAAAATGATGGAATAATAGGTCTTAAAATAATGAGGTCATTTAAATATGGATTATGAATATTTTAATTTTAAAAACCTCAAAATAATTGTAATTCAGTATTGGGTTTGCTAAGTATTTTGCCACTGGCTTGAGAAACTACTGAACAATTTAATAAGCTATAATTTCTGTGTATAGCTTATGCTTCAATTTTCTTTTTAAATAAGAGTGCTGAATTTGCTAAATGAACAATTGCTAAGTGCAAATTTTCACATCTTTTTTAGTTATGCAAAGTTATTGCTCCTTTATTTAATTCAGGAAAGAACCCAGTCAGAACATCAGTGCATTGGTGCAAAAGTGTGCAATATATGGATTTGAATGTGAGCTTTTCAGAAAGTGACATTTTCAGATCTGACCAGTAGTAAAAATGTGTAGATACAAAATTAAATAATGAGAAGTAGTCAAGACTTGAGAAATTTAGGTGAGGTAGTAAGGAGAGAATACTCACTGTCAGGTTGAAAACGTTATTTCAAAATGAGCTTTAAAATGAAGAAAAGCAAATATTTCCACTGAGAAGAGATCTGGAAGAGGCAGATGAAAAACCACCTGATTCTTCAGTCATGTTTCCCACAAAAAGAGGAGTTCTGGGGCAGCAGTAATATTTGAGACATGCAGAAGGTGTTCCTCAGCTTTTCTAAGATAAAGGGCTAAACTATGCATTCCTTTCAAGTGTGTTGGACAGAGACCCAGTGGGAGAAATGCAGGCATGTGCCAGGACAGCACAGCTTCTTTTCTAGCCATCTTGCTCTCTAAGATGGCTTACATCTTAGAGATTACATCTATTTCTCTAAATTTGCAGTTCTCTCTGCGCTGAAGTGACATGCAGTGTATACTTACAAATTTGTGGAATGCCTCTCCCCTCCATTATTTCTCCAGAGAATGCTCTTTTTGACAGAATGCTGTGGAGAGTATTGTCAAGGAAAGTCCATTTTCTTTTAAGCTAAGCCTGCAAACATGTTCTGCCAAGTGTCATGGGAGTTGTAAAGTCTTCTGTTCTTTGTGTCATGGAAAAAAAACCCCAGTCTTTTAGAAACATTCCCACAACATAAACCAGCAATGAACAGTCCTCTGAGTCGGTATAAGTTTATCTCAAAGTACCCTATGCAAACCTGGATGTGAAAAGTTCATTTTCCAGAGAGATGAAGAGATTTGACAAGTGTTGGGTGCTCTTCTGACAATAATTGACACCAATAATTTTCTGCTTGCTTAGAAAAGATGCGCTTTGCATAGCAGTTGATGTAACTTAAGACGGTTTAATAGACAAAGGAGGTCTGGGTCTAATTTTTGATGCTGGTGTCTACCTTAGTGGATACAAGTTATACTTAGAATGAAGTGGATCCTTAAATAACATGGTGTTGGTGAAAAGTCTTGATCATTGAAAGATGACTGCATGTCACCTGGATATAATAATATAAGCCATATGCTTCTTTGCTCTGGTGTTTTTCCCTCATTTTCTGTCCTTCCTATTGTAAAGAACAGGTGAGTCCCTGTTCATAAGGTAAATACTATCTTTTCTTATAATGGTTTGTGTTAGAATTTATGGCACAACAATGTTCTATATGTGCTAACTATAAACTTGCTTTCCCTGGGAAGTCAGCTGCATAAACCATTGTCAAATTAAGAGGAGAAAGGCGGCATAAGGATATAATTTATAAACAGGTAAAGCTGGTGCTTGCTTACAAATTAGTTGAGTATAAGGGATTTATTTCTGAGATATGGAGCTTTAATAAATGGATATTTTTCAATATTTGTTAAAAGATAGTTGGTCTAACATTATGGGATTTTATTGTCTATTTTCTGCACTGTGTTAGAAACAAACCTTGCATCAGTTCAGTTCAAATCCATATGGGCATCCAAGGCTTGGGGAGTTGATCCAGGTGACACCTGTGTGTGGTCAGGTCTGTTCTCAGGTGAAAGAGCAGCCTGGCTCACCAGGGAGCCACAGAAATAGTTGTGCTACCTTTAGGAATGGCAGTGGCAGTCTGAGAGAAACGTGGGGCTGATCCTCTGAGAGAGGCACTGCCCTGCACGTACCTCACTGAAAAACTGCAACACAGGGCTTGAAACATCCTCCACTTTCCAGACAGATCTCCACCTCCTCTTTGTGGCACTCCTGTTCAGGGAGAGGTTGTTTGACTTGCTCAAGTGCTCCTGTGCTTTGGAGATGACAGCACCAAGCTGGGGAAGAGGCTCTTGTGTACCCATCACCAGTAAAATCCGATTCCCACTGGCTGAAGCTGTGAATGCAATGGGCAAAATGAAAGTCACGCTTCAGCTGAGTTTTCTGTTGCCATTTTTTCCCTGCTTAAACCAGAATGCTACATGTGTTATTGGTTATTCTGGTTAGATTACAATAATCTTAGTGAAATCATCTCTCTCCCATTGTTACTCAGTGCGTGGCTTGGTTTGCTGATGGCCATAAACTAAAAGACAGCAAGTGCCACCTGGAAATGAGAAGAATTTCGGTGCATTGGGGTGCACACCTGCTGCAGGTGAGCCTATCTGGGCAGGGCAGCTGGACTGGGTGGTCTCCAGAGCTCCCTCCAACCTCTGCATTTATTTCTGTGATTCTGTGAAATAAACCCAAAGGCATTGTGGCAACAGCAGATAAATGTGGCTAAATTAAGGGGTTTTTCTATATTCAGAACTCAAAAATGAAATCCTCCATATATTTAACTGAAAGACAGCTGGAGTAATAAGTCACTGGAGGAGAAAACTGAGGAAAAATTCGTTTGATGTTTGCACTTTAAATGTGCCTCTGTTTTTTGCTAGCGGTTTTGTCAGAGCTGAAATCTGAAGAGGGCAGAGGAATTCCAGCTGCAGCTCTCACATTCATTTGGTGTTGCTGCTTATTATTTTTATTTTTTTTTTAAACATGTAGTGCTGCTTTAATAAGGCAAAAATGGGTCAGGGTCTGTTAGATATTCAGTGTGTGGGTGGGAATCCTTTGACGTGCTTTCTGGGGAAGCCACCAACTTGGGAATTGCTGCTGAGGATGCAGGAGAAGAAGATAAAACTCAGGCAGTAGCACCAGATATTCCAAATAAACCCTTTCACGCCCACTGAAAGGGCTGAAAGAGGCTGGAGAGGTGGCTGAAATCTGGCCATTAACCAAAAGCATGGAAAATTTTTTAGTATGAGGAACTCGTGCAGAGAGAAAAAAAATGTGTGCTTTTTAATTCTCTGAGCAGAATGAGAAATTGTGTCCCAAAAGTAAGGATAAATAGTATAGAATTCATCATAAAATTTAAATGCCATTTTTTAAGGTAAAGTGATTTTGAGGTGTGGGTGTGCTTGTGGATTTTGCTTTCAGAATTACATGAAGTTTGCAGGGAAGAAGTGATAGATCAGCTGTGCATTGTATGCTCTGGGGAAAATAGGTATTTTTTTTCCAGTTCTAGAAAAAACAGGGTTTTTTTAAAATTTTGATAAGCTTTTTTTATGTGCTTATGAGTTGCAGCTGAGTATTATATATATTGGTGCTTCTCTTGCTATGTATTATTTTTATTTAGCTTTTAACTGAAATTGTATAAGGAATACAACTAATTGCAATCGAGGCATATTCATAATGTGCCTTGACTACATATAAGTAAACTTAAATAGTTATCTGGTTATTTCTTTCTAAAGAATTCTCCATGTATCTCAACATCTGTCTGTCTCCCAAATGCAGGCAAAGAAGAGAGAAGCAAGCTACCTTAAATATGAAGTGGAAAAAGTCAATTGAGGGTAGTTAAAAGACCCTCAAATGCCATTAACATTAAAACATTACTTTAATGGCTTCTATTTTGTTTCCCAAAACATTTAAGTAGGAAAGCCAAACACATCTCTGTACCAAAACATGATGTCATTTTGATCTGAGTGCTTTTGAATAAGCTGCTTAATCATATTATTTTGGTAGAAAAATCTTAGAAGAGATAGGTTTTACATCAAGCAAGGTTTAGTTTTGTGGGTAACTGACATTTATTAGTTTTGGTTTAGTTTCTCTTGCAACATATCCTGGTTCCAGCCAGGTTAACTTTGGCAGCAGCCAGGAGGGGCATGGCCAGGACCTGGATGTGATTCCCCAGCACCCCACATCCTGGGCAGGGTGGGGAGGGGTCTTCCCCAGGTGTGGGTGGGTGCTGGAGAGCCTGTGGAGTTCCACATGGTCACAAATGCCTTTGTGTGAATTGTTCACCTCTCCTGTACACCCTGATACTGGGATTGCTGCCAGTGCTGCTCATTTTCTTATTTAATTTGCTGCTTCCAGTAAACTGTTCTCAGCCCAGCCTGTGATCTTCATCTGCTGTGCCTCCAGTT